CAGTAACTGGAATTTAAGGCACCTGTAGGATCAAGGAAGCATAAATGAGTTTCCAAAATTCTCTGAAGAGGACTATCCACAAAGGCCATTCAGTTCCCTCTCATCCTCTTGTCATCAACAGGTTTATGAGGTCAAAATGGAGTAAACCTAACCATCTCGTTTGTCACACTAATTTGAGTGTGACACACTAAGCAAGGGAAACAGTAAGAAAAGATGTCAGGGTTCATTTGTTTAAAATCTCTAACTGGTAAATAAGTTTCTTCTTAGACTTGCCTCTGCACACTGTCACTTCTGAAAGGGAATCTCAGAAGTTCTCAGTGGGCAAGGACAGCAGATCTATCTACAAAATGAACAACAACTCTTGAGCCTGTTTTGGATGCTGATTGTTAACACAGAGGGAGTAATAATGCAGGCAACTAACAGAGTAAGCAGCCCCGTAACAGAGCAAATTTCAGCATTTTAGTTTATTTTCCACAGCAAGTAACACTCCAAAGGAAGGTTACTTAATCCTCAGTACCAACGGAGTCAAGACAGAACAGAGGTTTTTAAATGCTGCTTATGCCAGGCACAAAAAACCACATACACAACACCTGCTCCATTTAACTCCTCACAACCAGCACAATTCAATTTGACTTAAATTAATCCAGTGACTTCGATGTGACTGCATTTACTATACCCAAAATAAAAACCAGAATGTGGTTCTGCAAAAAGAACTGGAGCACCAAGTTCTCAACACATGCAAAGCCAGATACATGAGTATTAAAGGTGAAGTGCAGATGATTGGTATGAAATCCTCAGTGCTAACTTGGTGTCCTTGATTTAGGTCTTTACAGCCACCTAGGCAGAGCCCAGGATGAGATGCCAGAGCTCACTACTGGACTGGAGCAATTTGGAGCTTCCTACAGCTTCTACCTCATTCTGGGCACACTGGTATTTTGCAAAATCCCTCCTGATCACTAGGGCTGGATCAGTGGTGGTGGACTCCGTCAACTGGGAATCTCAGGGATCTAAGGAACAGAAATTTGGCAAGCCATTTTACAGCTTGTACTAACCACGCAACCTTCTCAGACCAGCTGAAAAAAATAACATTCTTGATTCACTTTTGATATACAGATGTATTGATATATACCTACATGCACACACCACCTAATTATATTTACATAAAGACCCCAAAGGAAAAAAGGGGAAAACAGAATAGTATCAAGGATATGTGAAGGTGGACTGCATACAGCCCAGCTCACCAAACCTTCAGAGGGACTTGAAGGATTGCTGGGCCACCCTTCCTTTGACACACTGGAACCCTTTATGTCTGAAAGCACGAGAGGTTGGATCAGAAGATCCTGGGATCATACTGAAAACTTCCATCACAGACTCCTTCATCCGGTCAGCATGGACATGCAGAGAACGCCAAAAAATAATCTCACACCATCAGAAAATCCTGTGCTCTAACTACTTAACCAGTTCCTTACTGTGGCATGCTTTAAGGCTGTGCTTTCAAATAACAGAAATATATGTGCTTTTACAAAAAATCTCATTAAAAAGCAAAAAACTACTATTGATTCTTCTAATACTGCCTGGAACCCAAAGAATAGCAGCCACCCTGTTTCTACCTTTCTTTTTGTTATTACATTTTCTAACAATAAAATAGTCACTTTCTAACACTTCAAGACTGCATTTAAATTAAAAAAACCCACACTACAGAAAGCTAGAGAAAGAGGATTATCACAGTAACTTTTATTTTCCTTCTCAGTGCCAGTTCAAATCTACAAGTCATTTGTATTCTCTCTTTGTAACCTGCATGAACAGTGTTGGACGCGTCTGTAATTCCGCACATGAACAACATGAATAATCATATACATCTCTGGTCCCAGGCGTGCAGTAAACTCCAGTGTTACAGGAAGTGCACTGAGACAGTTAACCATTATGAGCATTTTTAATTATCTTTAAATCAACAATTATTCCTATAAGGTCCTCCAAACAATTTTTTAATAAAAAACTAATTTACTACTCAGAAATTAATTAGTATAAGATAAAATTAGTTGCATCTTTTTAAATGAGATTTTGCAACCAAGGTCAAGGGCAGTAAACATCTACTTCAAGTTCTAAAAGCCATTGCTTTTGGATTATGAAGTATTCTCAATTTTATTTTTTTTTTTCCTCAAGGAAATGAAGAATTGCTTCCAATGTGTGATGGAAGAAGAGACTTTAGGGAAATATGGCACTTCAGAGGGCAATCAAATGAAAATCACTCATAGATGATGTTTTTGACAGGAGTTAGTGCAATTAAAGAAAGGCAAGTTTTTACACAAACCTAATCATGGCAATAAATTTTGAGAACCTATAGTTCTGTTAGGAAATATGTGTACCAGTGCTAGGAAAGGGTTTGACTGCTTATATTCCTCAGCAACCTACAAGCCTAGTGAGGACTCTAACATTGAAGACTAAGGCAAACGTTCAGTTACATCACTCCAAGAGTGCCACCTGCTGCGTATTCTGAAAGTACACAGTGGTCTGTCTGCACATGCAAGTAACTCAACTGAAAGACCAAACCATTGACTGATTTAAAGACAAGTCATAATTTTGTTTGTATGTATGACAGTAAGAAGATTTTAGGGGTTTGGTTGTGGTTTTTTTTTAGTAGTAATACCTAAAGAGAGTAGGGGTATAAAGGAAGTGGTTCTGCTATGGTATGAGAACGGAACCTACGGTAATCCATTTTCAAGTTTATGAGTGGCATAACAAGGATTAGTTACATCAGCTTGCTACACATCAAAACCACAATTAACTCTATGTACTTTGTGATATCATGTGAATTTGACCTGCAACTCATTTTATGATCATATCCTGGTTGCAAATTATTCACAAAACACACGTGTGTGTGTGTACACACACAGACACTATACGCCTCGATAGCAAACTATACACCCACAAACATATATAAACACAAAAATATACACACAGATCTTGTGAGACTGAATCAAGGTGCCCTGTTCAGAAGCTGTCCCTGAATAGGAAACCAACTGCAATGCATATAGGATTGGCTCAGCAGAACAAAAGCGAATCCTGTTCCTGGTTCCAGTGACCTGCTGTACCACCTGGACTCATTCACTCCATTTCACCGGGCATCTGGTTTCTTTTCCCGGCTTCTGGTTTTGCTACTTTCCCATGGAACTGTTTGGGAAGAGGTGTCCTTGTACAATCCATTTGCATAACTAAGTGTGATGGTTTTTCCAGGATCCTGAGGGAATCGTATAGTACAAATAATTAAATATCTTCATAATTTCTGATCAGATACAAATTCATTATACTTTAAATGCTCTTCTAATGAGAAGTCAAGTGTACGTCTTTTAAGACAGAGTCTACATTTCACTTTCAAGGATGCTATCCTGGTAATTCTTTCTGCAACACATAGGTTGCACAAGTCGTATTCATAGGAGGTCAGTGAGTCAAATAGTGTGACTGGAATTTTAAAAAGGTTGGGTAACTTTTATGACCATTAATAATGTTTCTATTGAATGCCAGCTCAAGCTGTAATGAGGTTAATTAAATCTCCTGCTCCAATATATAAACCAACTGCCTGAAGGTCCAAAGGAGGACTCCATGTGCCAACAACTCAGAACACTGAACAAACAAGGCAACTGAGGTACTCCTTTCTACAGAGCACTTGGTGCTTGTCACTGCTGAAGGCAGAATATCAAAGTAGATCTACCAAAGCCACGATACATCAGAAAAACTCTAACATGACACATGCTTTTTCCAGAGTCAGGAGACAAACTAACTTGAAGAGTATGTACAGTGTCTGAAAAAGTATTGCATTTACTGTTCTCTTCCTGGCCAAGGCAGAAAAAGACCGCAGTTGAGGCAGGCAACACAATTTGCAAGACACAAGCATGCTGCAAAGGCAAAAACAATTATCAGTAAAGTGAATTACAGCAGACTTAACACGTGAGCCTGCTGAGCCTTACCAGATCTCTACGCACACCATAACTAGAGTCGTCACCTGCGTACGCACAACTTCCAAAGGGATTCCCAAGACCTGCAGGATCTGAGCCTGATTCAGTAAATCATTTATGATGCAAATTGTCGCATAATTTCTGCCAGTACCTGGAAAAACACAGCACACCAGCATTCTTTCCACACACTGCCCTTCCACGCTGTTTTTTATGCTGTGTTTCTCACTGCAAGGAACCTAGCAAGTGCACAATTATATTAAAACTACTGTTTAACTGCATTATTTTTTCCACATACTATTCTCTTGGGCCCTTATAACAGTATCACATGGACCTATTTCAGGGAGAGAAACTTGCAGTCCGTAGTCCAGACACAGTCTCATACTTTATTTGATAGGATCAAAAGCCACGTATTTTAAAAATTTTTGGCTCGTTATTAGATAATACTGTAACATGCATAGTGGGTTTTAAAATGTGGCTTACTATGCATTTGAAGAGTTCGTTCAGCTCTCAGTAAGGAAATGATTACTGCTATAGTTTATTTCATTTTATAGAAAGGCAGGAAAACTGAGTCAGAGCAAGGCGTTCCTGTCTCCAACCTCTCAATTCCAAGTGCCGTTGGCACGTACTGTTTTGACTCTGTGCTCGGGCCTGAATATTTTTAACACATTCTGAAAAGGGAGCAATAAGCACAGGAGAGTTAAGGAAGGGAGTGTGGAGGGGAAAAACGCAAAATACATGGAAAGAAACCTGAATAAAGATTTCCCTGGTGGAACTACTGTCTTGGGAAGGTCACCATGACAGCATCCCTTTAAGAATTAACATAAACCAGTATTACCCAGCCCTCAGTGCACCTGACTGTGTTCAAAGAGGTTTTGTATTTCACTGTTTTTTTTGGCAAAGCTTCATATGCTCACAACCTTAAGTCAACATTAAATCCAGCTATCCAGTCGATAATCATGAACTCTGTATGCAGTAGCTCCAGACACACCACATGAAAACAAGCTGACTGAAACCCACAACTTCAGAGTAGACCACGCAAGTTCTGAAAGAAGTGACCATACTTAGAAGAAAGTTAACTTCTTCATTTAGGAAGATTTCAGATGCTTCATACTTGATTAGCTTTTTTTGCCAACACAATGAAGGAAATGTCCTGTTTCTGCATGACTTTTTCTTCCTTGTTGGAACAGATGGTGAGGGTTTACAAATGCATGATTGGTATTTTTTCAGTGACTCATACCTCAGAGCAACAGGCTTCAGATCGTGATAAGCAGCCAACCAAGATGGATGTAAGCTTACTTGAGGAGCAGTATGACCATATAAAACAGAAGCAAAAACTGCAATCACACATTATTGTATTTAAAACAGGTATGCTTATATTTATAGGAAACAATGCAAATGTAGATGTAAAGACTTATTGCTTTAAATCTTGGATAACTCATAGCTTTGTTCATTTTATGCTTGGCTTCAAGAGAGGTACAAAGTGAATTCTTTTTCTGATATCTTGGGGTTTTATTCATTTCACTGAAAGGTGGTCTTATATATCAATTAGTTTCATGGCAGTAAAATATTAAGGTAAGGTTTTACAGGTTTTATGTCAGTAAAGTAAAATTCTAAACATAAATGGTAACTCTTATAGGAGCCACGTATTTCACGTCTATCATCAGTGTATTTGTGTCATGTATTCTGTAACATTTCTGCTCTCTCGAGTGCTTCCACCAGAAGAAGCAAGTCTGGGTCTTCTGTCTCTTTTTCTCTTCTTTATCTGTGTAAAGAAACGACATGTGCTACAAGACTACAGGGAGCAATAGTAAATATCAAGCAACTAGCACAAGTTGGGTTTTTGTTAAAAAATAACTTATACTACAAGTCATAGTGGGTAATTCAGATATAAGCTTTGAACAAGAGTCTTGTTTAGAAAGTGTTTTCTCTGCATTTTACTTGGAAAGTACAAAAAAAATAAACAAGTAACAATATATATCACTTATGTACCTGCTATGTCAGATTTTACATAAGAAACTTTGAAATATTTGAAAGCTTTTAGTAAGACTGCTGCTTACAATAATCCACTGATAGATTTTCATTTACTTTCCAAGTTAAAGTGATATTGGGAATATCAAGTCAATTAATGAAGTTGTCTTCTGAATTTAATTGCAACATGAAAAACATGCTTCATTCACCTCTCATATTATTATTCACCTCAACAAATGCAGAATTTAGGTTATTTCATTCTTTACACTCTCCTATACATTTTCCAGCAGTTCTAGATTTTAGCTGTGTCAGACTGTCACCAAAACAGTTGAAAAACCACATAATTCTGAACTATACAACAGATTCACATCTTCAATATTTTTTCATCCATACGTCTAGAAATTCTTGTGTTAAAAGAATTTAAATCTCTGTAAGGAGGAAAAAGATAGCTATATACACAAGCTTATTGTATCAGGTATGAAAAATGTAAGTAACTTGAAGACAAAACAGCCCATTTAATCAGCTATAGCAAAAATGTAAGTCAGTTAAAGAAAGGAAGCAGAAGTCTGTATTCACATTAAATTCAAATGAAGCTTCAGATATAATGAATGTAATCAGAGCACATTTCTTTGTAAGGACACCATTTGAAGATTAAAGAAAAGACATAAGAAAGCAGGACTGCACAGTTTAAAATTTAGTAGAGCTGGAAGTTCATATACAAATATTTTCATATACATACACATAACCCAAAACATTCACAAAACCACATAACCTACTGCTCTGAACTTCTATCTTTATACAACCTGTGTGGAAGGGATTCATGTTACTATTAGAAGCAGTTGAAATTTGGGGCATTTTGTTATGCTCAGTGTCCTGAAAGTTGATCTTATACATCCATACGGTGTGGCAGCTGGGAAATCTGTTACATAGCTCAGCACTTTCAACCTGTTACATACATCAGTCTCCAAGAGCGTGTCAAGCAGAAATGAACAGTTCAATATCAGGATAGCCTACCATCCTGCACTCCTTAAGTTACAAGCTTCAACTATCCAGAAATTCCAGCTAGTTCCAAAAGGCAGTCCACATACGTATCACTATTTTGTACTGGCAGCAAATTGTTTCCCTACGTAGAGAGTAAGATTATGGCTGGGCTGGGAAGGGGATTACGACAGCACTACCACAACTCCGCACATACACACAAACCTCAGAGACCAGACATAAAAAACCTCATGAGATTCAAGCCTCATGGAAGGAGGGCACCTCTGTTCCCTCACGGTCTTAAAAACCCCTGCCAAAGGTCTTTATTCTAGCTAATAAAACCCTAAATTGTTTCTGCCGGACAGAAGAGCTGTTCTTCCACAATACCACAGAGATTTTGAGCATTTCAGGTTTATTGCACCACAGCTGGAATGTAACTCTAAGTTTCCTTGAGGACTTCTAGCTGTGCATGTCACTATCTGTTTGCCAGAGTCACAAAATTGTGGACCTTTAAAGAGAACTTAAGGTTCTTTAACTTCTCTAGGTTTTTGACTGGTGGGTTAGTAACTGAGAAGTCACCTGAAAACAACTTTCTTCTGTTCTTTCCACAATACACACAGCCATGTTCATGCTTTTGCCTGCTCCTGATTATTTGAGAACAAAGAGCTGACAAGATTTGAAAGTCACCAGCTAGGGGATAACGCAGCAGTGTATTCATTATTTATTGGCTAAGAAGCTGAAAAACAGTATTTACTTTAGGAATTAAATGGGAGCATTCAGCACATACAGCCACAACATAATAAACACTGGGGCTCTGACTGCAGAAATCTCTTCCAAGAATTTCCCAAGCTAACTTGAAATAAGATTAACTTTTCTCACTTCAGAACTTTAAAAGTATATGAAAAAGACCAAACAGTAAACAACCCTGCAACAAGGCTATTATGCACAATTTAAAAAAAAAAAAAACAAGCAACCAAACAATCAACAACTAAACAGATCAAAGAACTGTCTAATTAAAGCTTTGTTTAGAAGTTTAGAGAGTGCTGAATGTGTGTTCATTCAACACACAGTGGTTCAGGACTCTCCCATATCTATCAGAGGTCATTGCTCAGTTTTGTGTGCCAGGTCTGTAGCCAAGGAATCAAATCAAACCTGAACTCAAAACCAGGTCAGACTATTAAAATTGGACTAGATGCACTACTGTGAACTCTCTGATCAGCTGGAAACAGATCAGAATTCTTCTGATGACCAGTTCATAAGGTTCAATGCCAGTTCAGCCAAGAGTGCAATTACATGCACAAGAACATGCAAAGCTGCATCACCTCAGAGTATCTCAGTTCCTTCGCTCTTGCGTTTTCTCTCACATATGCAGAACAAGCTCAAATGTTTGTAGCTTGGTGCTATACTGCACTGTTTCTGGAACACAGAGGGATCTGTTTTTGCGGCCAGCTTTATTTCCTGGATAAAGTCCAGTCATAACTTTGATTCTCACTGTTCCATGAGAGAGAACTGTGTGTTCTTATCTCCATGAACGGGTTCACCCTAGGAGAATCTGTTAGCATACTTCACTGTATAGACATACGCATAAACATATCTGCATCTCTAAGCTCTGCATGTGCTTTAGGCTCCTTTCTTCTGGTAACACTGCAGGAGAGTGGAAGATGTGAGCTGACACAGTTCTCACTCCCAGAGCCATGCTGCAAAGCAGCTCGTATCAGATCAACCCTACGTGGCCAACCCAGGGAGCAGAAAAAGAAATCTGTGCTGGTGGTGTTGCTTCAGTAGTGGGAGCCAAAGACAGCAGTGAAAGCCTCTCCTTAGCCAAAGCCATGTTGTACAGGTTCATTCTCTGCCAGTAAATCAGCTGGGTCTGACATCTTCAACTAGTTCCTTTTAAAGATGGTTTGAAGGACAGTTATAAAGGGGGAGTTTGTGCTGTTGTTTTTTTTAAAGGCAGCATCCTATCAGAACTAGCTTCCTTTCAAATTCAGGGTTACAATTTGTTTAAAATGGTTACACAGATATTCTGTTTCAGAATATAATCAGCACTCTCCTATGTCTACCTTTTTCACTTCAATATGCTTCATAACTCATACTGCAACAGACACAGCTCCTGTAACTCAATCCTGTAAATAGGTCAGCATCCTGCACAACTCCTATTTAAGCTATATTTATACTAACAGAAGTACATTTCATTAGTACTTGCAATGTCAACAGCACTGTTTCTCTTTGGTGTAATAGCTGAGTTTCTATTCATTTTCAAGGCACAGAAAGCCAGTCATGTTCAGTAATTCAATGGCTGCTACATGTAATTAAAGTAGCATTAGCATTTCTATCTCTAATATCTTCTACATTTCTGACAGTAACTTTCACGCCGACCAGATTCTCTCCCACTGTTACAGCTACTCTATGCCATTCATGGACCAAGCAGATTGCTCCTCTAAGCCATCATTCAGGAAACACTAGTGTGATAAACTATTTACTTCACACCATTTATACTGACTACAAGAGTAAAACTTCAGTAAAATATTAAAATACAAGCCGATATCTTAACAATCCCTCACTAAGAAAAAGGAGACAGACATTCACAACTTGTTTCCTCTAGAAGCGGTCACAGTATTTTTAAGCTGTGAATACAGGCGTCACACAGGATGAATCAGAATATTTTTGTCTTTCAAGTCACAGCACCTACGAACATGCGGAGCAAATCTCTGCTCACCTTAAGAATTTTTGCTTACAAGCAATTAATTACTGAAAGTCAATTCTCAATCTGTGTTGTTAATGAGTCTTAGAGTTCCGGTTAGATCAATATTGACTTGATAAATCTCCACTTTCATTTGACTAACCCTGGGGTACCATTTATGTCCTCAGAACTGCAAAACGGAGCATGAAATGTTTCTGCTCCGTAACCTGGATTCAAAAGAACTCACATTACTCTCAGCCACAACGGAAAGAGTACACATAAATTCATCTGCTAAAGGTCTTCAGTTGAGTTTGTGCCACAGAAATGACACCCTTGATTTTTGCCACCACAGTAATGTGCATATATGCATTTCTCTTGTAGGTGAACACGAGTCTGCTCTCCCAGAATCAATGGTCAATACTGTTTTAATTAATAAAAAAGTCAGAAGATCAAAATCAGTCACAGAACATGTTCCAGTCAGAAGGGTCACACTGGAAATGACCAGCAGTAGCAACATACAAGACAACTCACTGTGGCGTACCCACCTGGGAATTCACCGCCTGGTGCAAGCCCCTTGTCAAGGAGCTTCCTGGGATCCTTCCCACTGCAAGGACAGATCGTGCAGTTTTGACAATCAGAGACTGATTTCGAAGGGGAACAGCACACTGCCACACAAGGAGTCAGAAGAAGCATGTGAACCATCTGCGCTCAGCCCACTGGGAAGTTCAAGCACATTGACTACTTTCAGCAAAGAGAATGGCAGCAACATTTCAAGCACCTGCCAAGAGCCTCCTCTGAAATCAGCCACTTCAGCAGTTTGGACACATCAACATATTTCCTCTACAAAATGCATGCCAGCCTGCAACAAACTAAACTTTTACCCTTTCCCTAATAAAAAAGGGCCCAGAATTTCTGAAGCAGCAAGGAGGCTTGGATTATATGTCTCACAATGAAGATACTCAGTTTAAGTAAAAAACTTGATTAAAGCTTAAAATAGCAAAATAGTCTTCCTAGTTACACTGATCAACCTGCTGAGGGTCTATTACTTTTATTAGCCAAAGAAGATCCTTAGTATATAATCTGTTGTTTTACAGCACGGTGTAAAATGAGATGTTCTCATGAAGATGCTAGGCTGCAATGACAGATACTCATTTCTATCATTTGAGATAAGAGCAATTGTCTGTCTTTTCTTTTTTTTTTTTTCTATTTTCAGATTACTGATTTTAGAAGCTAAAATTTCATCACAGCGATATTTTAAGTATCTGGAAGAGCTATAGCAAAGACTAGTAGAACTACTGATGAAGCAAGTATGCTAAATTTCAGTACGGTACAATTTAATTAGACAATAAACAAGTAACAAATTAAACAGTATTAAAGGTGATTGGTACATTGAACATGTGATTTCATTTTTCAGTTTCCTCAAAAAAGGATATTCAAGATACTCCGATGTGTGTATTTTTTAAATCAATGAATAAAACCTCTGCTCATTTCTATTGTTGTTTTAGTGGGACTTAGTAAGCATCATCTTTCTCTTATGTATAAATTCTATAATAACACATTGTTGGTTCCCATCTATCTCGAGTATTTCATTAGAAAACAAAAGTCTGAAATAACTACTTAGCTCCTCCATACCCTATATCAACACACCTTCCTCACCAGAAGCATAATGCACCTTTCTGCTGCTACAACTGGATGTGCACAAAGGGGATACAACTATTGCAACTACACAAAGAAAACTGTAGTAGTACAACTGTTTTTTATAGATAGAGTTTAACATTTTCTCTTGTGGCACAACTGCACCACAAACCTGTGCAAGTTTTTAAAAGTAAGTAGCTACTTCTGATCTTCCCTCCTGCAAGATCTTCAGAGGAAGGAGATCCTCTCTTGCAGCTGCTTTTCAATGACAAAAACCATAAGCTGCATATCACCCACTTCTGGCTGCAAGTATTCAGACAGGGCTCTTTCTCAAACGTAGGCTTCAGAAAAATTGGGAGACTTGAAATGTCTCCCTGTGTCACAATGACAATAATTTCAAGCTATACACCTGACAAGCCACTGGCTCTTCTGAACCATTCCATATCTACCTGAACCCTGAAAGGGCAGCAAAACGAGGATCAGGGGGATGGCCCACAAAGCTCTTCACGATCCTTGCAAACAGTCTGCAGGCACACATCCCCAGTTATAACCACTGTCTCAAAGTGCATCATCCACACACAAAAAAGTGAGCAAAAAAAAAAAAAGATGCTCAGCTGCGGTTTACGTCCTTCTAGACACAAACTCTTCTCAGCAAGAAAGAGAAAGCATCTGCTAATAAGATACCTTGGAAAGAGAGTTAATACCAATGTGCAAATAAAATCCTATTGTCAAAGGGATAGGGTCATCCATTTCTAACACTTCATATCACTAATCCTCCATACAATTCCACTTACTTTTGTTGTGTTTGATGAAGAATATCACATCTGGCCATGTTTGCACAGATCTGCCAGAGCCTGTGCTTCCATTGCAGGATAAGTTTACCACAGTACTTAAAGTCCTCAAAATATAAAAAATATCACGGAACATAATGCTATTTCACTCCCTCTGGCCAAACGACATTTTGTCTGTGCCACTCAACAGTTCACAGAGTTTGGGTCTGAGTGCCCCACACTGATCCAGCCACTAGCAGATAGACAGGCACCTGTCCCTTAACTGACAGTCCTTAAGACAGTGCCAAAAAGCACTACTATTACCAATAGCAATGAGTAAACCACAGTAACTCCTGAAGAATTTTCCACTCGTCCTCAGTAAAAGCAGCAGAATGAAGACACAGGTTTGAGAAGAGGCGTTTCATTGTGATTTTTCAGGTTTTCTAGTGTTTTTGATTAACTAGCCTGCCCAGATCAGTTTCCACCTCAGATGGCCGATTCCCTTTTTTTTGTAGGCATGTGACATTAATAAGGAATCGTAGCTATCTGGTTGGTTTTTTCTTCTTCACAGTAGCTACAGTATTTAAAGAAAGATTAGAAAGAAAAAAAAAAGATAAAACACAGATATGCGTAATAGGTATAAGAGGGAGAAAACACTAGATAACAACCAGCCCATATGAAACAAGAAACTACTTGGAGGAAAATATCAAAGGACAATGAATTTTTTAAAATATGTGGTATACATTAGCTTTCTATTTACTTGTCTTGCTGGTTACCGAGTATACTGATTTGTACTCCTGCCTGTTGTTACGCTGAAGTGCTATTTTTGTTGTATCTCCAAATCTGTAGACCACATAAAGCTAAAGGAATAACTGAAAGAAAAACCCCATGTTAGCAAGAGGCCACTATTAAAACTACTCAAAAATTAATTCGAGATCATTTTGCCTAGATACTTGAAACTATACACTTGAGAACAGTTCAGCAAATGCAACTTAAACTTTTAAATCAGTATCACAGAAAGTTTATAACCTTATCTAGCCACTTACCTACTCTATAAATCCATTTGAACTAAATTACTGATATTATTTTCTGCAAACACTTATTTTTTTTTAAAGTGCTTTGAATTCATTATCTTAATTAAACACTGACCTTGGAATACCTTGATTTAAAACTCAGTGCAGGTTTATGCACAGACTAAGTAACTAACTCCTTTGTCAGAACTTTCATACAAACACTTTGTCCTTTCCTGAAGCTTCTCTAGCGCCTTACAGTGCTTTGTACTGACTGGAACTTAAATAGAAAATGCCTTCAGAGAAGTCTTTCAATTTAGATCCCAAGGACATTATAGACAATTTCAGCAAATTTTGATTTGTTAGTGGACTAGTTTTAGTTATGAGAAAAGTCACCATATTTACATTTCAAGAGACTGAAATATTACACAGGCACATCATCTAATGAGAAATATTTTTTTTCCTAAAGCACCTGTAGTAAAAATTAAATAGGGAACACAAGAAAAAACGCAAAACTTCACATTTTAAAAGTCCTAGTTCTCAAGTGCACCTGATTTTCAAAACTCTTTACTGTTAGTTTCTTCATGTTCGGTGATCATGGGACAGAAACTTTTATCACTGTTACCATAGCTTTAGCTAAGTTTCAAGCACTGAACTCAAGACTGCCATAACAGCAAGTTTACCCTTATTTTATTAGTAGGCAAACTTGACTGATTTATGCACGAGGGGCCTGGAATCCTGAAATTCTAGTTCAGTGTCGTGTTCACAAGCTCATGATACCTGTGGGGTTCCCGCTTCCAGAGTTGCTGTATGCAGCAGCCCCACTTAGCCTGCGTGACTGCCTAAAGAAAACATCTGACATAGGACATCTCCTGCAGGAGAATAAGTAATACTCTGGTGCAACGATTTCAGTCACACATTAGAGAAGTTAGAATAAAATTGCTTTGCTACGGGGACAGCTGGTCACATGAAAGAATTAACTCACATGAGTTAATTATTTCTGGTGTAGCCCAGATGACCTTTGAGGTCCCTTCCAACCCTAACCATTCTATGATTTATGTCTTTTACAGGTACCAAAAAGATTCCAGGAACATGCCCCAACCGTCTGAGGCCCTTGAATACAAATACAATGTTGAAGAGCCTATGTTGTGTATGTACATACCTCTACTCCCACTCCAGGACACTATGGGGGCTGGAAGTGACACTCCAGCACCTCAGCTTGAGGTGGTGTTTATTATCAGATTTCCTTCACACACACCATGTACTCTTCCAGACCAGTCTCTGAACCCAGGTTAACTCTTAACAGCCCCACAACCAGGCACGAACCTGCCCACCACCCCTGAAGGGGAAACATAAGCCCCCACACAAAAGCTCACCCTTAACGAGGCTGCCCTCAAAGAGCACAGAAAAAAAAAACACATATTGATCCTTCCTGGCACGTTTCACAGCGCCTCAGCCTTTGGGAAACGCTCCCTCTTACCACTGACAGGAATTCCAGCCCCTTTTGCCTCACAAATGGAGAGGCCCCAGCTGAGAGAGGCTGCAGCGCCCTCAGCCCCCTCCGGCCTACAA